TGTGAGTTTGATCCCCCATACCGCCAAAAAAGAAAAAATGGGTGTCACCTATGAAGAGTGGGCACTGTTGGGTCAAAATGTGAGGAAAAGATTTTCGGCATACTTGAATTTTCTTTTCTTTCTTTTTTTTTTGGTACCGGGAGTCAAACTTGGGACCTTCCGCTTGCCAGGCAGGTGCTTGTGCCACTGAGCTATACCCTCAGCCCTTGAATTTTCTTAAAAAGTGTCATTTTTAATACAATGAATAGCTGGGGATATAGTGCAGTGGCATAAGTACATACCTGGCAAGCACAAGGTCCTGAGTTCGATTCCCAGTACCAAAAAAGGAACAACAACAAAAAACAGTTAATACAATAAATACAGATACACAAATCAGATGATTCCATGTGAGATACATATACATATATTTTGTTGCTGTTTTTTCCGGTACCGGGAATCAAACTCATGACCTTGTGCTTGCCAGGCAGGCGCTGTGCCCCTGAGCTAAATCCCCAGCCCTCTACATGTGATATATTGAAAAACACAAAATGAATGCACGTTAGGATATGTCCATCTTTGTGTGTGTCTTTTGGAAATTATGTTAAAATCAATGTTTTTATATTATTTCTACTGGTCTTCTCTACATGAATAAATTTCAAAGTATTTTCAAAATAGTCTTACGTATGTAGAATTTCAATTCATTGTGATTTCTTTCACATATTTGACAATACCCATGTATACTGAATGCTTTTCCACATTCCGTACATCGAGATTGGCCACAATATGACATTGTTCTGAAGGATAGCATCTCTGTCAACTGAATTTTTCCCCACATTTCTTTGATGCAGTTACTCCCCAGTTTGAGGGGAATTTCCTATTTTTAAAATGAAAACCTTGCCAAGCAAAGTGGCGCATGCCTGTAATCCCAGCACCCAGGGGGCTGAGGCAGGAGGATCGTTGCAAGTTTGAAACCTTAGCCTGGGCTACAAAGTGAGCTCAAGCCCAGCCTGAACTGCATAGCAAGACCCTGTCTCAAAAAAGACAAAAAATAAATAAATAAATAAATAAAATAAAAAATAAAATGAAAATCTTGCAGCAAGTCTTTTCCACACTGCCTACATACAAAGTTTTCTCATACATACACTATTTTCTGTATTTGACAGCATTTTTTTTCACTGAAAACTTCCCCCATTGTCAAAAGGCATAAGGTTTCATCCCAGTGTGAATTCTTCCATATTTGTGACTATCACTCTGGTGGTGGAAAGATTTTCACATTGATTACATATATACATGTTTTCCACATTGTGAGTTCTTTCATGATGTTGAAAGAGACTTTGTCTGCTGAATGCCTTTCCACATTGCTTACATGTAAATTCCTTCATGTACTACAAGTTTACCATTTCAACTAAATGATTTCTCACATTGCTACATACATAGATTTCCTCCCCTGTGTGAATTCTTTCATGTACTACAATTTTACCATTTCTGCTGAATGCTTTCCCACATTACTTACAAGTATAGTTTCTCCACATTGTGAGTTCTTTCATGACATTGACAGAGACTGTGTGCTGAATGCCTTCCCACATTGCTTACATGTGTAGGGGTTCTCCCCGTTGTGAATTATTTTAGGTACTACAAGCTCACAATCTTGGTCAAATGCTTTCCCACACTGCATACATACCTAGTATTTCTCCCCAGTGTGAATTCTTTCATGTACTAGAAGGTTACCATTTATGATGAATGCTTTCCCACATTGCTTGCATGCATAGGGTTTCTCCCCAG